TATATATATATATATATATATATATATGAGACACCACAGCAGGATGGAAGATAATCACTCACCCGTCATGAAACCTCATGAAATCCTGCAAAAAGCATCAAGCAGAAATGCATTTTTGGAAAAGTGTCAAAATCAGACTCCAGCACCAGAAGGAGCTGGTAAGCCTCAGAGCTTCTTCATTCTCAGCTTCTATGCCTCTGTATCTCTGAAGCTTGACCTTACAAATGAGCACACTGCATCACTGTGAGAATTGGTGTTTCTGGGCGGTGCAAAGTGGAGTAGAGCACATCAGAGTGCAGGGTATCTGAGAGCAGCAGAGCACAGAGAGGCAGGCACATCCGCCGCTGGAGGGATCAAATCTGTACCATCTGACGCTCAAGGATTTATGGGTTTAGTCAAAATTGCTTTTCCCACTGTGCAGATTAAGCACCGTAGGATGTTTTCCACTCAGGCCGTAGAATAGCCCAGTGTGCTGCTGTCGCCGCCGCTGCTTCTCTTGCTGTTTTTCTCCTTCTTATCGGCTCAGGCGCTGGAGAAGGGAATGTATCAGAAAAGCAGAGTGCTCCGAACCCTGGAGGGGAGTGGATTCTGATTGACAGGAGAGGTCCGTCCTCTGGGGAATGTGAACCATGCAGGTGGATGCGGCGTTTATGCTCTTCTGTGTTTGGCTGGCGGGCGCAGCTGGGAAGATGGTTCAGTCGAGAGGTCACAAGCTGGAAACCTACAAACAAAGCAGGTAACAGCAACAAGGTGTTGAATATATAGGGCTTTTTAAAAAACTGATTGCATTGCCTCAGCAGGATTCAACTGAATCATTTATTGGAAGATGTGCACAGATCTGCAGAAGTTTCTTAGTTTTTCATTAAGAACTTCATTTTATTCTAGTTCATTTTTCTTTTGTTTTAGGTGCACACAGTGTTGTCCACTGTTTCCTGTGTCACCTGTGCCGCTCCCTCCCCCCTTTGAAAATAGATTTTTTTTTTCAGACAGCAGATTGGAGAGAGGATAGAGTGGGAGACCTAAATCCCCACATCTATTTATGTATTGTTGGTGAATGCTGTGTTCTCTTGCCCTGCAAATGCTGCAGATCAGTTAATGACCATTTTTCCCTACCGGCAGCAGTTGTAGTCAATTTCATTTTCAGGTGATTATTTAGGCTAATTGCTGCCTTGTCAATGCACCTATTGGATTAGACTTTTACCCCCCACTCTCCACCCCACTACCACCTCTTTTTAGGACTGAACTAGATGTGGGAATCAATAAAGTCGCTTCATTTCTGCAATGTATTGATCAAACAGGCTCTGACATCAGTGATTTAAACAGCAGGGAATTTTTTTTTGTTTTTTGCGGTTTGACTGTGTAGCGTAGCTGAAGAAAGGTGACCTTCACACTACAAAACATAAACACTAAAATCAAAATTGAGCCACAGGAGGTTGATCTTTCAATCTTTGAATGTAGTTTCGAATCTGATGTCAGGTATATAGAAAGCAGAATATCTTAATGTTATCAAAAATAATATAATTTTAAAGATATTTTACAAAGTAAGGCTCTAAGTAACAATTAAAGAAATGACCAAAATGAAGAAATGAAAGAATGACCTGAAAAAAAAAGTAATTAATTTTGACAATACTTGGAGATTATAAACCTGTCAGTGAAGTACCTGATTCATTCACATGTTGGTTTAGCTCCACTGAGAATATTTCATGTTTTTATCAGTATGCAAATATAGAGGTACAGGTGTTTATTACACTGCAGATACACTTGAACTGGACTGAATCGCGTTGGTAGGAAATAAACAAAGTATCATACACTTTGACAAAATGTTACCATTTCTTTCCACTCATTAATTTCAAATGAAAGCACAAAAAAAAGAAAAAAAAAGAGATTGTATCAAAATTCTGAAATATGTTCGTCATGTATTTGAAAAGCAACAGTTTAAATTTCCGGCAAAAGTGTTTCAAATGAGCAGAGTGTGATTATATCTTCAAGTGCCTTTTTTGGTGAAATATGCCAACAGCCCACTCAGTAGCAGAAAAAAATACTCAGTTTGCTATTTCGTGACATTTCGTAACACATTTTGAAGCTGAATATGTTAAAGACCTTTTGTAAATAATGGCTAGAATATTAATAATTATTGAAATTACGATATCGGTTGATTAAGTCATTCTATCAGCTCTACTACAAGATTATTTGCACACTTTCAGATGGTGTTAAAACCCAGTGAAAGCAAGACTCTGATCAGCGTACACCCCTGACATTTTTGCTGCTTCTAATGCAAATAAATGCACTTTTCCCCATAAATAAGCAGTGCAGATTGGCCTGTTCCAGTGTAGCTTTTACAAATAAATGCTTTTCTTGTAGAATATGTGCAAATAATTAAACTTTAGCCTAGAGCTGCCCCAGCTGAGAAACTGTATTTGCTTTAATCTCTGGTAAAGATAAGATTTAACCAAGCGGCAAAGTGCAAAACTGTACGCTATCAGCGTTGAATGATTTGCATCCACTTAATATTTTCAACAAAGCCTGTCAAACCATAATCCCCCAGCCTTTAGATACAGTATCAATTTTTCATGCTATAACTGGTGATATTTATAGATCAGAGCTGATGCCAAACAGCAAACGGCTCTCCATTAAAACTGAGTGAAATAAACAAGCTTGACGTGATGTATCTGCTGGTCTTTGATACACCTAGTAGTCCTTAGGTATAAAGGATAGTAAGCGAGCGTGTGTGATGCTATTGGAGGCAGTGTCTGCTGCCTCTTTAGATGTAAACAAGCCACGATGAAATTCCAGTCATTTAAAGTGATCCTCTGAGCCCCGAGATGATTAAGAAGATCATTAAGCACAAGAGGAGCACAATCGTAATCGACTGTGGAAAATCTGGAAAAGACAGGAAGCACAACTGGCTCAAAGCCGCTGCATACTCTTTAAATTCCAGTGTCGTCTTCTTTATCACATCTGTGTTTCGCTGTTTGTTGAACTTGTTAAAAGTCCTCTCGCATCAGTCCTCTCTCTGCTCTGACATGCACAGCCTGTGAATACAAATCAAATTTAAATCTCCCATTTCTCTTCTAGCATGGGGGGGTGTGGGGAAGGGGGATCACATATGCGTATTTAGAAATCAAACCCTTTCTCCCTGTGTTTCTCATCACTCCACTCCTCTTCTCATGAGTGTGAAATCGCAGAAGCGTCTGTGCGCTGCTGGCGTGGGCTGTGGGGGAGTGTTAACTGTTTTACTTTCTTCACTCGCCGCCTTGAGGAGGATGAGCCGCGCGGTGGGGAGAGGGGGGAGGATTTGTGTAGGACAGCAGAGTCCCAACATAAGAAAAGATCTGAGGAAAAACCTTCATGAGGTTTAAAGGATCAATTTTAATGGTCGCCTCTGATGATTCCTTGGAAAGAAAAAGATTTAATGAGAAAAAAGAATCACTCCTTGCCGCACAAAGACAAAATTTAGTTGCTACATGCTTGGTTAAAGCTGACTGGTTGGGCTTTTTAAAATATGTTTTAATATTCTAGGAATTCAGCTTATATGTGCATAACTGTTAGCAAATTAGCTTGTTAGCCAAGAGTAAAGCGGTTCATTTCGGAGACATTAGCAGCAAATGTTCAGTAGTTGTTGTGAAGATTTTTTCAAATGTAAAAGAACGAATCATTCTATAAACTTTGAACGCCCTCTTCTTTACTTTAATGTTTCTTTCTGCTTTCTGCCCCCGTGGACCGGCATACATAAATGTGTCCATATCGACCGCCACGCAAATATGGCCCATTAACCCTCATGCAGACCCTGCAGTGACGTGCGTACGCGAGCCCGCGGTGGCAGAAAACATAAAAAGAAAAACATTTTAAAAAGCAAACAATGTGGGGCCATAGAGCAGAGCAGTGTGCAGACAGGCTGTGTGGCGTAGGCAGGCAGAGAAAGGATTGGAGAGGCATTTCTGCCAAGAGGATTAGGAACCAGCTGCTGGATAGACGCACACGAGGAGGGCCCAGCACCCGTTGCCCATGAAAGCGCTGGAGCCAGCAGCGATGGAAACCCTCTTCTCACTGTTTCATTTTGCTCTTGTGCTCTCTCTCTCTCTGCTTTGTGCTTCTCCTCCATCTCTCTCTTCCTCTGTGGTATTTCCTTAATGCACGTCTGTAGTTGTCACAGGGATTTGGCTCTCTGTCTGTCACAGCATGCTCTACTCTATTAATCCATTTTATGCTTTTTTGGAGTTTATCATTCTCTCGCTCTGTGTGTGTGTGTGTGTGTGTGTTTGTGCGGACTGAATATGCTGCCTGAAAGACATCTATACAGAGGCAGCCCTCTTGAAAAGTGACACCAGAAAAGAGCTGGATTGCTCTAAATTGGATGTGATGGGCATTATTTGCCCTCATGTGATTTGTGGATGAAATGTGCCTGACGTAACCGGATGTACTACATCTCCTTAGGAATGGAGAAGGTTCAAAACAGCACATGAGAGCAGCATAGATTTAGGTTTGGGGTGGGGTGCAGGGACAGATGGTTTTCATTATTGGCTCGTTATTTTCTTTTTAATCTGTAAAAAAAAAAGTGAGCCGAAATTCATTTTTACAGACACCAAGGCGAAATATTTTGCTTTTCTTTGTCACCCATATTTAAAAGCTGTTATTTACGACAGACAAACCTTAAAAAATCTCCACACGATTAAAAAGCAAATCTGGAAAAATATACCCAGGGTGCTTTTCTGCTCGTCTGCCTCTTGGTATTCAATATTCAAACACAGTTTCTGCTGTATTTGGCCTTTGATCATCCCAGACACTGAATAAAAAATAGTATTCGAAAGTAACCTAGAGAAACGCCACGAAGCATTCCTGTGTATTCAAATAAATATGTGAATTTACAACCAACAAAAAAAGGAAAAGGTTGAATTTCTAAGGTAAAACTAAAGAAAGCATCACAATATCTTTGATTAAAGCTCTGCTGCGCTGTAAGCTGGTCTCATTTGCGTATCTATTTTAATGGAACAGGTTGCGAAGAGACGCCAGGATGGATGGCGGAGGAGGTCACAAAACTGGAAGGTAAGTTGTACAAGTCTTTTCTGGGTTATATTCAGCATTCAAATCGGTGTAACCACATGTTTATTGTGCATTTATTATTTTTTCCAGCCCAATTTACAAGCGAAGCCCAGACATGACAAAATCTCTGATGACAAAATCTGAACAGCTCCTGAGAATAGACGATCACGATTTCACCATGAGGCCAGCGTTTGGAGGTCAGAAGCTCTTAATTAATTAGGAAAGAAAAAGAGACAACATTAGCATCCTGTGCAGCTGAATAAGATCTGTGCGGCTTCCTTGTGAGCATTAAGCTCTTGACTGACAACCTCCTTTCAAGTTGTGCAAGAGTTTCTTTTTCCAGTTCAGTGCTTCACAACACCAGAGTGTTAACACATTTCCTTTTGCTTCGCTGCGTGTTAGAGGGATTTGATGTCAGCTTTCTTTAGGATTATGTTGAAATAAAGGCACACAGGCTTTTGTTTCAGAAAATACACTAAGTAGTAATGTTTTTATGTCTTTTTTAGCTCTCTTTATGCATCTGTCTGTCGAGATAATGTGAGAGTGCCCTATTTAACCAAAAAAGTAAATAAATAAAAAAAAGAAGTAGGAAGCCACGTGCTGTTTTTTTTTGTCAGACCGCTTTTAATCACACGACAATCTGCTGCTGCTGAAAACAACACCAGATGACCCCTCGCTGAATCCTTTTTGGCGGTGTCCGAGTTTAACCAGCAGGTACATCTAGAAGGGAAAGCTAGCGCTGTATTTTACTCACCTGATCCGCTTTGAGCCGTTATTATGACCTGATTGTATCTGTGCGCTGGTGGAGGATGATCGTGGTGATGCAGAGTACAAAGGCTGAAATAGGTCAAAAGAAGAAATCGGAGCCAAACTGTAACCATCATGTCATGAGCGGCTGCTCTGTGTGTGTGAGATCCACGGTTCCTGTCAGAAGCTGCGTTTCTGCAATAAAAGAAAAAATGGTGGTGGGCATGTTAACTGCTCTACCTGCTGTCACATCCATAAGCAGGCAGAAAAAACAAACCATGTCCTTGCCTATTTCGATTAGTGCATTCATTTTTCTTTAGGATTTCTTGCTCGTAGTAAGTCATCTTTACTTTTTGCTTGCTGAAAAATAATGTCAGCACTAATGCATTTCTTATATGATGCCATTTTCCTTCAGGTCCTCCAATTCCTGTTGGTGTAGATGTTCAGGTTGAAAGTCTGGATACCATCTCAGAGGTGGACATGGTAAGCGTGATGCTGCACAATGCAGTGCTCAGCTGTTATACCGAGTGCAGTTTTAAGGTAGGTGCACTTTGGCCCCTGTCTTTGCAGAGGAAAACAACTACTGTTCGTCTTCCATAAGAGCAGACTTATTTTTATTCATGGCCGTGGTTCAGGGGGTTGGGAAGCTCATCTTGTTCATTCCCCAGCTCTCTCTGTCTTGGTCGTTGTGTCCTTGGGCAAGACACTTCACCTACCGCCTACTGGTGATGGCCAGAGGGGTCGATGGGGCGATATGGCAGCCTCGCTTCTGTCAGTCCGCCCCAGGGCAGCTGTGGCTACAATGTAACTTGCCATCACCAGTGTGTGAATGTGTGGATGACTGGTTGTATAAAGCACTTTGGGGTCCCTCGGGGACTAGTAAAAGCGCTATACAAATACAGGCCATTTACCAATTAATACATAAGGCGCACTGAATTATACTGTC